TTTTTCAAATTTCATTTAATTTTAAGAAACTAATTTTACTTATTTTAAAATTTTTTGCATTTTTTAAATTAGGGTTTTTTAATTTTTTATATTGTTTTGGTGTAAAAAGGAATATAAATATTTCTTAATTTCATTAATGGTGTGCAGTCCCTACAGCTTTCGGTCGAAGTACACCATGATTGTGAAGCCAGTAGGTACATATGTGGCGGAGGCATAGTCCGCACTTGCTTCACCGCTGCCTTGGACGTCATTCTAGATCAAACTCAACTACACGTATACTAAGAACAGACTGCACTGGTAAATGTAAATTGATTTCGAGCAGACTTGAAAATGAAATCATAATCATGTTTCCTATCAGTGTGGCATCAGACCTGGCAAAATGCGCCGAATCTCGGAAGAGACTCGCGAGTATGTAATCGATACCCACTATCTATGTATTTGTCAATTTCAAAGCCGCTACGGCAGGGCGAAAACTATATGCCGCGATGTATGAATTTGGTATCACCGCGACACTAATACGGCTGTGCAAAATGACGTTCAGCAATACCACCAGCTCCGTCAGAGTTAGGAAAACCCCCCTGCTACCAAACGGGGTTTCATAGAGGGTGACTTCGTTTTATGTGGTTTCTTTAATCTGATGTTGGAGAAGATAATAAGAGCCGTAAAACTGAACCGCTGAGGGCCAATTCTTTACAAGAGAGTGCAATTGCTGGCTTATGCCGATTACATAGACATCATCGGTAAAAACGAGGGCTACGTTTGTTTTGCCTTCTCGGAATCAGATGGAGTAGCAATGCGAATGGTGGTAAACAAGGATAAAACAAAATATATCCTATCATCACACAAACAGTCAGAGCATAAGCATATTGGCACCCACGTCCCTTTTGACAGTAGCACAATTGAAAAAGTAGATGACTTCGTTTATTTGGAAACGAGCATTCTTCTTCTTCTTCTTAGTTGGCGCTGTGCTCGCCACCAATAATAATGCCAGCCTTGAAATCCAAAAGAGAATCACTCATACCAACAAGTGCTACTTTGCACTGAGTAGGCAATTGAGAAGTGAAGTCTTCTGATGTCGTTCAAATATCACGCTCTTGGAGTTTTCGAGATAACGATACTATGACAGATTTACGTGCCTTTGCGCGTTAGCATTGGCGAATATCGCAGACGATGGACAATGAGCTGTACGAGCTTTACAACAATATCGACATAGTGTGGCGACTTAAAATTCAATGGCTACGCTGGTCTGGTCATGTCATACAAATGGATCATAATGGTCAGGTCTTTGAAGATTTTACATCAAATAGATTTGATATACCGAATAATAGTATTCTTAAAATAAAAATTGATAGTTTAAACCTTACATATTTTTCTAAAATTATTATATTCAAGCAATTACCATTGGGCTCATTGTCGGCTAAAAATCTTTAACTTATTCATAAAATAGATGAAAACCATCAAAAGTTTCTACAGTATTTACAAACGTCAAATCATTCCACAAAAATAACTTTAAATTTATTCCCTTCTTTGCAGTCGATGGTGAATACAAACAGAAATCAGCAACACAAACACCATCCGGCCATCTGTCCACAACCAGTGAAGCGGAAATCAGCTGTAAGCCATCGACAGACGAGCTTGGCATGTACCAAAGCAATAAGGTGAGTGGCATACACCCGCACGCATTCACACTTGTGTGCATACATATACATACATTCGCACACCAACTGTTATATCAACTTGGTGAAATTAGATCCCTCCGCCTTTACAAAATAAATTTGTCATTGTGGGTTTCATTGTTAGATACTGACCTTTTCGTCATACTCTTAGCAAGTTTTTAAAGAACTTTTACTTTTTATGCTCTACAAAATTTTCAAGTTTTTTATTTACTTTCATTTCCCTTTCAAAATGCGAGCTTTTGTTTTTGTTGAGCTCGGCGGAATGGCTAAGAATGTATGGGTCTATGTGGCATGTTTTTAAAGTAAAAGTTGGCGGTAGGCATTTGTGTTGCCAGCGCGACATCGTCATTGATGGCGTCCGCGCGTCAATACATACATAGATAATGAAATGCTGCGCGAATAGCGCGTATATACACGGATGGTTCTACGTCGGTGACGGCTGTCGCGTTGGCGATAATGTGGCAGTGTAAATATGAACCTTCAGATAAAGTTAGTTGGTAGGTACACGTGCTTGCACAAGGATGATTTCGTGTAGACAATCGGCCAAAGTTTTAATTACTTTGTTTTACAACAAAATTGAATGTTTAATAACTTTGTGGAATTATTTTGCATTAATTGCGTAAGGAGTTTGTCCGGAGACAATGTGTCAGCTAAAAATTTGGAATTGAAATGTATCTTGGCATTGATGGCTTAAAGAAGAAATTTTAAGATAGGTTCGTGGGCATTGTATGTGTTCTTAAAATACGTGTCTCTAAAACATTACAAACATATAAGTTTTGTTTTACAAGATACATTTTTTTTTTTAATTTTTGCGAAACTCATGTGAACTAAGCACCGACTTGTATAAATCAGAATCCTTACTTCTGGAAAGTAATCGGGATGATTTAAAATACTTTGCTGGTTTTATATTTGATGGAGGAAATCCGCCCCTGCTGATTTCCCTCGTCGACGCCTTTTAAACCTGGTTCACATTTATATTTAATCTGCGCAGTAATCTTATTATATTGATTCAAAATTTTATATAGATATGGGGAATTTTCCATAGTTTTATGCAACCAATAACAATAAAATATTGCATACATATACATATATCTATGTATTAGGGTGCATCACTCTTCATACGAAAAAATTGGTACTGTTTTCCATCGGAAATATAAAATTTATTATATTTTGAAACTTCCGCCAAAATATTCCGGAAAAATATTAAGTTTTACGTGAGCTGGACCTGTTTGAATATACTTCCAAAAATCGAGTATATACTTCCAAAAATTGAGTATTTGAGTTTTAAAAAATATTTTTCCAAGAAATCGATTTAACTGTTAGCAGAGTTTTTGCTTAGAACGTATGCACAAAAATGTTTAGAAATTTCATCAACGTAATCAAAATAATACGATTTTTGGAGGTATTTTCAAATCGGTGCAGCTCACTTAAATCTTAAAATTGTTTCCGAAAAATTTTTGGCGGAAGTCATAAAATGTAGTAGACTTCATAATCCCAAAGGAATTTTGCACAAAGTTTTCATCATGTATGCACATTGAAATGCATCGTTTGAAGGAACTACTTACTACTCGTATAAATAACGCTATTTTACGAAATGAAAATTACATCTTTAAAATTGTTCTTATTTTAACTAATTTTGGCCACTGACTAGAATTATAAAACAAACGAAACACGTTTTTCAATCGAAAGCGTTTATTACAGTCAAATTAGGTCGAAGGGACTTTCTGGTGGGGGTTTATTGGTTAAAAAATGGGCTATAAGTGGTTAAAACTTTCACTAAAATATAAGTCGCCAAATTTTACTAAGGATAACCGAATATAATGAAAAATTAAACCAATTTTCAGCAAAAAAAGGTAGGAAAAAATGTTAAGAACTCCGTCTCATCAATCAACAGTAATTTTTAGCCAATTGAAACTTATACTTTGTTCTACTAGAATTCAAAGGGCCATAAAACTGCATACTCAGTATCTTACTACGGAATCTAATTAAAAAAAATTACGAAAGTTTTTTGATTTTTTTTCTAATATTGTACAAAATTTGAAACTTGGATTTACTTGGATTGTTGAAGAATGGACTATATTTCAATCGTTTGTTTTTTTTCTAAAAATTTACTATTTTCTATTATTGGGTCCAAATTACCCAAAACATTATTGGAATTTACCCACCAAACACTGCAGAAGGGTTAATCAATGAGCTTGTTGAAATTGCGTTGAGCTTTGTAATACTAACAAATTTACGCATCTCAAATAACATCCTTGCAATCCCGCAAAACCATATCGTTTAGTCGCTCTTTGTTTCTAAACATTTGCAATTTTCTTCTATTTACAGGACGACGAGCTACACTACGCAGAGCTCTCACTTGCACCCGGCAGCGTTGCCGTTGGCGGCGCCAGCTCCACTAGTATGCCCAAAAAATCGATTTCTGTCGATTGCAGCAGCAGCATGTTGCTGCAGGGCGCTGGCATAAATACGAACAACATGTCCGTGCCAATCGGTGGCACACTGCCGCATGGCTCCAGCGTACGCAAATTGCTACCCAGCATACCAGCCAATGCCGGTGCGAGCACATTACAACGCCATAAGCCACAAGCGGCAGCGCAACAGCCACCGCCACCTTCCTATGACTACTTCGAAGAGCCAACGATATACGCGCAAATCGATCATTACAAAACAACAACGGCGACGGCAACAGCGGCAAATGCCGGCAGCAATGGTGGCTGTTCCTCTTCCGCCTCAGTGTCGCCATTCCCGCCTTGTATCTCATCGCCTGCCTCGCAGGGTACGCCATCAACGGTTTCGCCCGGCACAGTGCAGATGTATACCTTGCCCTCACATCCTGGCGGCTATCATACGCTGCCACACAACCATCATCATCAGCAGCAGCAGCAACAGCAACAGCAACTGGCGCATCAGCAACAATCGCATCAACAACAACAAACGCACAATACATCCGCCTCATCTATGCTGCAAATGATGGCGGCGGCAGCAGTTGTTCAAGGTAGCACTGGCAGTGTTTATCATCATCATGGTACGCTGCCAATGCCACCAACATATCAACAACATCAGCAGCAGCAACAGCTGCAACAACAGCAAGCCACCGGTCAAATGCTGGTATCGAGCAATAGCAGCGGTCTCGGTTCGGCTACGACGACTGCGGCAGTGACGAGTCCGAGCAGCTCGTTGTCGGGGCTCTCGGCCATCGGGAAATCGTATTCGCGTGAAATTGTGACGGTGCGAACGCCATTGATGTACTCGCAGCAGGAGAGTTGCGTTTAAGGGTTTGAGAAATATAAGTATAAACGGTATTTAGTTGTAGTAGTGTAGGTTATGAGATAGGGGGTGGGGGTAAGGGTGGAGGCGCAATATGCATAGCTATGACTTTTTAAATCAAATGGGGGCTATGGGTTGGGGATAATTTGAAAGATTTCGAGCGTATTTTTGTTGATTTAGTATTTTAAGATTTATATATTTTATCTATGCGTCATACTAATTCATCGTATATTTTCAAATATTTTATAATCAGGGTCAGCTCTAACCATCCAAGCGCTCACTATATNAGTTGTAGTAGTGTAGGTTATGAGATACGGGGTGGGGGTGAGGGTGGAGGCGCAATATGCATAGCTATGACTTTTTAAATCAAATGGGGGCTATGGGTTGGGGATAATCTGAAAGATTTCGAGCGTGTTTTTGTTGATTTAGTATTTTAAGATTTATATATTTTATCTATGCGTCATACTAATTCATCGTATATTTTCAAATATTTTATAATCAGGGTCAGCTCTAACCATCCAAGCGCTCACTATATGCGCTCTTTTTTTTTTTTACAAAATATTTAAAAAATAATAATTCATATCTTTCATGAGCATCAGAAAATTTTACTTAAACCGATTACTGAATTTAAATTATTTGGGTGGGAGTTAAACAAATTTTGTACCTTCACTACATATGTACATATTTATATAAAGGAGTTAAATAACAAAACCAATTTTCTCGGTAGACTTTACATGATTATTTAGAAATTAGAAGCGGTAACCAGATGGGAGCGCACTGCAACCTGCAATGAAACGAAGCCTATTTGGCCGAAATGGAATATACGGAGATCGAGAGAAATTCTCAGTCTCAATAAGGACGATTTGTTACTGGCCATTGGCCCGCCCGCAGGACATATCCTGATAGGAAGCCATACATAATGCCTCGGGGTCAGTTACAATGACTTCTGCAGGAGCTGTCACCACGAAGAAGAGCCCAAAGCAATCAGGCACTTACTCTACGATTACGATAGTTATAGGTTTATGAGTTGGTCCCAGCGCAACTGATAAGTTTGGAATACGGCAGCGGCTATGCTCAGGTTCGTAAACTCCACGAATTGGTTTAAGGTGTACGGATTTTTTCTCCAGCTAGCTATTTATCAAAGCATACCTTTTCTAGGTATGAATGGATGCAAAGCGGTGGTTTTAGGGAGGCAACGGTGAACTTTTACACGGATAGGACGAAGCTTGATGGAAGGGTCGATGGAGGTGTTTTTTTTTTCAGTGAGCTCTCCATCAACCTTAAATTTAGGCTTCAGGATCACTATAGTATGTTTCAGCCAGAGGTTGCTGCTATTAAGAAACCAGTCGATTGTCTGCTGCTAGTTAGGCGCAATGGCGGTGAGGGAGGTTAACATCTACTCAGAGAGCCAGGCGGCAATCAGGCTCACTTATGGCACACTCGAAGCTTATTGAGGAATGCCTTAAATTCGCTTTGGATAGCGTCGAAGTACTACTTTGTCAGACTTGTCTTGGTGGCAGTCCATAGTGATATGGCAGGAAACTGTGCGGCTGATTAACTGGTGAGAGCCGGAGCCCTTTATGAATTATCACCAAGAAGAGAGAAGGTGGGAGTTCCGTTGACTAAGTGTGGACTTCTCTTGGGAATATGGTCCTCGGGTCAACTCAGCGAACGCTGGAGGCATGTTCCACGGCGAGATCTTTCTAGCTGAGAGTAGACCGGGGCGGTCTCAATATCTCTTTAAGCTCGTGAGCCGAATCTCTCGGTTCTAATGGGTGTACCGGACCCCGTCTTACCGGACCCCGTTAGTCGCAGCTCTATGGAGGAAGGTGAGGTGGAGTCGTCACAGCATTTTGATCCTAATCTGTCCAGCTTTTGCTAGATTGCGGCTTAGGTCCAGATGATCTCTCCGATATTAAGATTGGCCGCCTGCGAAACTTCGTTCTCCGCACTCAGCGACCAACTTCTACGGTCTAAGTGCGCCCCTTACAAAGGGCAGCCACCTAAAACTAACCTAACCTAGGGGTTTTGGATCCATGTGGTATCACAATGGACCCCCGACTTCGCCTAAGTGAGCTGCCTTCCTTTAAGTCTAGCAGCCTTTTCAACCTAACCTAGAAAATAGCCCACTAAATTTCTCGGTTTTAACCATTCAAATGAAGGGGTTTGAAAGGCTATATGTTATAGTGACTCGGTCTTCTTCATTTTCACCATAAGTTTTCTGTTGATAACGGGTGAAACGTGTGCGGAATTCCATATTCCTTGCTGCATAAATGGAAGGGTTATAAAAAAAATCTCATATCTGAACAGACAGTTGAATGGGTGCTATATATTATAGTGGTCCGATCTTGCGGGTTCCTGCAAATGATTAATACAATAAAAATTGCATACAGTTACTAAATTTCAGTTGAATATCTCGAAAACTGAGTCACTCTTTTGCGTTCAAACAGACATATAGACGAGCAGTCTTGACTAAATCGACTCGGCTCGACGTTCTGATCATTTTTGTATGCATTTTCATGGATCTATCACTTCTTCTGCTGGTACTTACAAATATCGCACCAACGTATAAAAATAATACATTTTTCGAGCTTATTTTTTTAGAAAATTCTACAATGAATATATGGCGATCTAAAACCAGTTAAAATCGTTGGGGTTGTTATCAGATGCATGTTGGTTTGTTTGTGATGGTGCTTTCTGGAATATAATTACGGCATTTTTCCATCATTTTGATACACTTCTCATAGGGAATGAGTTTTATCCTAGATTGTTTGGTCGAGCCACCAGAATTTTTGATGAATCTACCGATTTACTTTGCTCATAGAAAATTTAAATGAATCCGCTGGTTTTATTACTATGTTTTCTCCTAATGCTTTGCGCCAAATTTTTTTGAATGTCATGGCATTCACGGAGGAAATGCTGGACATTTTCTTTTCTATCTTTTAGCTGACAAGTGAGGCAAGTTCAATTATGAGGCCTTCTTAGAATTTCCGTATGGGACACATGATAACTTTTTTACTAGATATAATCAGCAGATCCAATATTTTCGCTTTCTTATAGTCAAGTAAGCGTTTCCTTTATAACTAGCATGTCTGTACGTCTCATCACCATTTGGTACTCAGTCGAAGGAGCTGCAAGTAAATTAATTTTTGGATTATTCCAAGAGTGTAACCCAAGCCGCGTTTGGATTCACGCGTTTGCCCGACGGTCATTGCTCATGACCTTCCTTGTTATTATCTGCGCGTACCCAGGCAAGAGAGAAAACCATTGGCTCTCGTACTGAGAGTAATTTCATTTTGTATGTTTTTATTGGTTAAAATTTTATATCCGCAGATTTTTGTTTCCGACTTCATTTCCTAATTGGTCACAGGCATCAAAGAAACTAAGAACTTCCACTTTGAAGATGCTTGTATCTGTTTCAGACATACCGGCGAAGCGAACCTAAATTCTTCAGAGTTGACTATCTGTCCTTCACCGCAGTCCGTATGGGATC